GATTTTTTACATTGGAGAAATATAAAGACAATATAACTAATAAAATTATTTCTCTTAATTAATTTATTAATAATGAATTATTTTTTTAATAAAGACATTGTAGGGACAATGTAGCAAATATAATCAATTGAATTTGAATATAAAGAATTTTTATATTAGAGAAAAATAAATACAATAATTATTTCTCTTATTTAATTTATTGATAATGAATAATTTTTTTTTTTTGAATAAAGACATTGTAGACACATAATTCTAAATTAAAAAATGATATGTATTATTTTTTGTTGTAGCTACTAAATTATTATTTTTAATTAATTTAATAAGAGTAAAATAGAGTACTAATTATGCCAACTTTGATTGGGATAAGGTTCGAACCTAAGACCTTTAAATTCTAATTAAAATCAATGAGTAAGTTAACGGTGAACTAACAAAAATTAACGGAAAAATAATATTTAACGGAAAAGTTAACGAAAAATCACATTCATTAAGGATAAATTAGGAAATCTTAAGGAAAAATTAAAATCTGATCAATCTGAGCCATTCATTTGATTAAAAAATTTAACCGCCATTTTTTCTACCCATTATAGGTCTAACTCTCTTGGGCTTTTATTAGTATAGTAGATATAGTATAGTATAGTAGATAGACTAGTTATAATATTTGAATTGCATGATTAAATTAATGTCCAATATGAAATTTAAAATAAGTAATATAACTTTTAAATATGAAAATTAATTACTCTGTAATATAAAATAAAAATGATTATTTTCAATATAATACAAATTGAGTATTTTCAACTTGTGATAAAAGTAGTAGTAAAGATGAATATTTTTTATAGATAGTTATAATTGAAAAAAAAAATCATGTTCTAACCATTGTCATATCTCTAACTTATAAATTTTCTATATGAACTTTTTTCTCTAAATACCTTAAACTTCTCATTTATCATTGTCAAATTTTACTATTTGTTTCATAATATTCGTATAAATGCTTATATATTTTGATTTTTTTTAACAGTGTACTGCTGCGAACAACACTATGGTGCTTGCAACAACAATCTCCAAATTGCTGTTGCGAATAATAGCTCTATTGCTTGATGTTGCAACAATGTATATGATATATATAATTTTAAATTTAAAATAATTTTATGAAAATCACTAAAAGTTTATTAAAATCATATCATTTTAAAAGTTTACAAAAGTCATGATTGAATACACCCTCATAAATTTTTAATTAAAAGTGACATGATTATAATATGCTTATTGATGTTTGAAGACTAATTAAAGAGTTATGCAATGAAATTATAGCGTACGAATTTATAGGTATTTCTTGTGTATATGATTGACACCTCAATTGTTGTCGTTATATGTGAATTATTAATCTTGCAAACTCATTTTATTTATATTTTTTTTAAAGCAAACCAATGAGGTTTTATTTAGATAGTCGTACCATGCCAAAAGTTGTAGAAGCTAAAGTGTGAGCTAAATAATTCTGTGATCTAGGAATAAAATTAATTGAGCAAAAATCAAATGTAGATATGCAAGCTCTGCAACCATCAATAACATAACCAATATACAATCGAGACGAAGCACCTGCTGAAGATATGTAGCACTGAAGTGTATGACAATCCGTATATAGCTCTATAGACTGTTCTCCACGAGCCATTAGCCATGACAAGGCCTCTTTGCACGCGAATGCCTCGGCCATAAGTGGGGAGAAATAACTCGGGAGGGAAGCGTTGTAGGCCGAAACATAACCACCTTCGGCGTCGAGAAGAATTGCTTCAATCGTGGCCGAGTTCGTCGCATGGTGATACCCAGCGTTGACGTAGCACATTCTCGGTCGTACTGCAGCATCCTGGGCCACAATAGTAGGCAGTGGCGGTGGAGGCAGTGTCAGCTCGGTAGTACTGTTGGCAGCGCCGGCGTCTTCGGCTAGCGCACGGTCGGCAGCCGCGTGGTGTACTCGTTGCCATGCCTGCATGGTGGCAGCGGCTACGACAATCAATTTCTTCGGCATTGGTAGATAGGCGTCCCAAATCGCTCCATTCCGCGCTTTCCAAATATGATATAAAATTGCAACTGCGTATATAATTCCATTAGTGTCTAGAACATTCAAGATTGCATTAAACCATACATGGAAAACATTTTTCACAAATTGGGAAGTGGAAGGTTAGATTGAGCCCATATGGAATTTGCATAGCCACACAATACCAATGAGTGCATAGTGTCCTCATGAATGATTCCACACATGACACAAATCGGATCAACATCTACCCTCTTTATAAGAAAATTGTTGGTAGTGTGAAGGATATCACTTATAGCCCTCCATAGAAAGGTCTTCCACTTGGGTGGGATTTTAAGCTTCCATAGAGTGAGCCATTTATCAAAAGCATCATCATTATTATTCTCGTAGTTCCCAACAATGAGTCTTAGCCATTTTTAACAGAGTAGCAACCGTTAGGGTCCACATGCCAATACCATACATCCTCATGGAGAAATCAGTATCTTTAAAATTCGAGGCACATCATTTGGTAGGAAAATATCAGTGAGAATATGATGGTCCCACGAATCAGTATCCTGATCTATTAAACCCACCACTCTAGCTCCAGCCAGCTAAGGTGGCATCTCAGTTTGAATCATAGGATCTAGGTCATCTTGGAGCTAAGGATGTTCCCAAATTAAGGTAGAATTTTCATTTCCAATACGTCATCTCACACCCCTACATATCAGACCTTTAGCTGCCATAATACTGCGCCAACAAAAGTTGGGGTTATTTCCTAAACATGCTTTAGAGAAGGATTCTTTAGGGTAGTATCTAACCCTATACACACGAGACTCCAAAGAGTCGGTGTTAGTAAGAAATCGTCATGCCTACTTACCCAACATTGCCAAATTAAATGCCCTCAGATCCTTGAATCCCAGACCACCATGCTTCTTAAGGATACATAATCTATCACATGCTTTCCAGAATACCACAGTCAGTTCCTGATTCCCACCAATAACGATTCATTGTTCGGTCAACAGCTATGCAAACAGATATAGGTAGCAAAAAAACACTCATTAAAAAAGTAGGCATAGCTTGGGCCACACTCATCGATCAGTGTTATTTATATATTATTTGGATGCATATATTCCACATCAAATAAGATACAAATGAAAAACATAACTCTTTTACAAAAAAAAAAAAAAAAAAAACATTAAATTTTTAATTAAAAAGAAAAGAAGTTAAAATAAATAGATATTAAATTTTCAAATAAGAAAATCATATTAAAATAGACACATATTATTCATTAATTAAAATTATTATTAAATTAAACAATATTTATTGAAACTACATATACAAATATAGAATATGTATGCATATGTTTGTATTTTACATAGTCAGGGTAGAACTGACAAAAGAAAAAAAAAATTATGAATGGTAAACTTAGTAAGAACGTATAGACGTACAACACAAAGAACACACAAAAAAAAAAAAAAAACATTTAATACCACTTATTTTACTAACAAATTTCTAATTTTATTTAAGGACTAATGTCAAAATAAAGTTTAATAGAAAAACTATGGAGGGTAAAATTATTTTTTTTTTAAATTATAAAGGAACGACACAAATTACACAAATAACAAACGTTTGATACAACTTATACTACTAATACAATTTTCATTCTACTTAGAGGAACATTATCATGAGTTATTTTGGGGAGAATGCCAGATCAAATAGCTTTTGTTTAAGATAATTGTTAATGTGGGGATGAATTAATTGAAAAAGAATTGACCTGAAAGACCCAAAATAATGTCAATTTTTTTTTTTTAAAAGGAAGGGAGGTGCGCGCTTGGTGCGCACCTTGCCGCTAGGCTAGTCAGATGGCGACCACTCTGACTTTTTTAATTTTTTATTATTTTTTTTTTTAAATGTCAATTTTTTAAAAAATTTTACTTTTTCTTTTTTCACCCACATTTGTTTATCTTTCCTAATGACAGTTACAAAAACCCTCAAATATCACACCGAGATTAAACTAATGTAGATGTTCTTAAGGACTAATATTATTGACACTTATTATATTTTTATTTTATACTATATATTATTATATTAGATATATATTTTTTAAAGATAAGGTAAACATTGTTACATGGGCCATGTAGGTATTTTCATAAAGATAAGTTAGAGTACGAATAGGATAGCAAATCTAAAGGACAAATATAAATAGTTCACATCTTGTACTCATAGGACCAGCAACTCTCTATTGTGAACGGTCAGGTAATTTTTTAAATCTCTCTTGTTTATGTCAAAATTATATCATATTGCTTTGAAAATAAAATATACACCAAAACTTGTATATGATATTGTTATCAATAATAAAATAATTATATTTGGGGCCACTTACAACTATGTTTGTTAAGTTAGTTTAATAATCACAAAGTTTCAAGTTTGACTTCAATGAAGCAGTCTATTTGTCTCGATTCGAGTCAATTAGTTATGGATAACCTAAATTGATTTATTTTTTTGTGATCCTTTTATCAGTTCGCTCTTATTTATAATTATTACAAGTTTTTTTTGTCACTTAAAAGTGACTTACTTTCCTTTTTATTTCATGAATTAATCGATCTCGCTTGTGATACAATTTGCCAAGAAAATACAAAAGAGTTTATGTCATTTAAGGTTCTTCGAGTATAGTGATTTTTACACGTATAATCCTAAACTCTTAAATTGACCACCTGTGGTCCTTCAATTTTTAAAATTTAACCAATCGTGATCTTTCATGATTAAAATTTGATAATTGAAAGACTATTGGTGGTTAACTTAGGCTACAGATGATAACAATTTGAAATTCAAAGGACTACATATGATCAATTTGAAAACTTAAAACTAAACTCAGCAAAATCATTGTACTCGGAGGATCCATGTATTAACTCAAATAAGAAAAATGTTTGGTCATTTTGAGTGGCCAAGGATTCCTTTACATGTTGTGGTCTCAAAACGAGAAAAAAAGGAAAAGAATGTCAAAGCTTGAAAAAGGAGAGAGAGAGAGAGAGAGAGAGAGAGAGCTGAGATAGAAAAACACAATTAAGACTCGAGGGAAGAGGAAAAACGAAATTAAACCCTCTCGCCACAATCCTCGAAGAAGAAGAAGAAGAAGAAGAAGAAGAAGAAGAGGAAGGAAATGAACAACAACGAGAATTCAATCTCTTTTTCTGTGCTAATTAGTGAATAGGATATACTCCCACTCTCTCTCTCTCTCTCTCTCTCTCTAACTCTTTTTTTTTTCTCTGTATTTTATCACTTCCTCTTTCTATTCTATCGCTTTCTCTCTCTACAACTGTTTCTCGTAATCGCTAATGGAACCTTTGGATATGGCGCTCTCGATTATAGAGCTTCGTAAAGGTATAAGCTGAAGCACTCAGATCTCGGAGCTTCGCTTTGACTTTTATATTATTTTATTTTGTGCAAGTTTACTTCGAATTTTGGTTGAGATTCTTGGAGATCTGTGGAGATTGTGTTGCTATAAAGTTACAGATTTTTATTCTGGGTTGTTTCTCATTTGTTGGGTAGTTTTAAATGCAAATTTGGAAAAAAAGTTGCTATTTTAATGACGAGGTTAGGGTTTAATTAATTGCTTAATTCTTATGTTTAGGAATTATGCATAGTTTGTTATAGATATTTAGTTATTTATTGAATATAATTGGGATGAAGGTTTTTATTTAAACTGTTGCTTTTTGACTATCATCGACCGTATGTTGAATTCATGGAATACATGAATACATGATGTTGGTTATTGATTGTTTTGATTAAGTAACTGATGAATTTTGCTTGAAAGTAAACTACTTCTTCTTCTCCCAAAGAAGAAGTTTACTTTCAAGCAAAATTCATCAGTTGCTTGAAAGTCATTTGCTTGAAAGTAAACTTATCTAGTATTGGTCGTTGCTATAAAACTTTAATTAATGATTTTTTTTTTTTTTTTTTTTTGGTGGTTGAATTATGCCCCTAGTGTAATTAATTTTAGAGTAATTGCTTAGTTATCAATTTATTGTATGCAATGCCATTACTAGTGCAACTTTTTTGATCGAATAGTGGTGTAATGTTAATGCTGATTGATTTGTTTGGGAACTACTTTGAGAGTTTATGATGTTGCACTTTGGACTAAAGCTTTTGTCTCTAAACTTCGTTGCAGGTTTTGGCTGATATGCTCTGCAATATTGCTACTTTGTAACCATTAGAAGTTATTTTGTGCTAGTAGAAACTGTTTTTTCTTATCTATCTACTATTTGAACAAGGAAGAGAAAAAGAATGAGCTTTTTGGGAAAAGGGATTCCTACCGGTGACAGAGATCACAGTTCAGCCAAGGCAACAACTTTGAATCCAAATGCAGCAGAATTTATTCCTTTTGCACTAAGATCACCCTCTGGCAATACTAGCAATACGGATGCATCAAAGTTTGCTGATGTGAACACAAGCACACTAGGGAAATCTGTATTAGATAGATCGGAATCATCTGTTTCAAATAACTCCGATGATGAAGTGCGCCGCTACTGGCGTTGCCGGCTCCCTGATGACATTACAACTGATTTTGAGGTCATGGGAGAAGATGATGACCATGGGATCAGTAGTCTTCCTTTTTCCAATTTGTCATTAACTGATATCACTAATACTTCAAGGTTCCCTACCTCAACAGGCAGTGCTTTTATGTTGAAAGAACAGCAGCGGTTATCCCCAAACCAAATTAATGGTACTAGCTTTGATGAAAAGACAAGCTATCTTGCTTCACGCTTTGCTGAAGATGCATCCTCAACGAGTTTCCATCTTTTGCCTGGTAATCATTGGGAGAAGCAACATCTGAACAATAACGAGTTTCTTGCTAATGTTAGAGAGGCACCTCCTTATGATGTGAACTCGAGACATGAATTCCTTACTGATGTAATAAATGAACAACAGTTTGTAGAGGATATAGGCATAAACCCTGTTGAGTTTTTGGCTTCAAAATTCCCTGGTTTTGCAGCTGAAAGTCTTGCTGAGGTGTACTATGCCAATGGAGGTGACTTGAATCTGACTGTTGAGATGCTTTCTCAACTTGAGGTATTTTCATTCATTTTTTTCCCCTAAAATTTAAACAGTCAGAGTTGCATAATAGGTGTTAGGTTTGTAATTGCATCATTTAAATCCTATCAAGAATTGCTCTAGATCTATTTGTATGCTGCTTAGTCATAATTACAATGTTGTCTTATGTAGCAAAGCTGATTAAGGAAGTACTACAATTAGGCGACAACTTGGTAATGTGCCTTAGTTAAACTTAAGAATACCTTTCGGCAAGGTTGCAAAATACGTTAGGCGCCCCCTAGGCGCCACCGATTTTTAAAATTTTTTTTAGTTTAAAAAAAATAAAATTAAAACTAAAAATTGTAAAAGTTCACTAATGAAACATAAAGATCCCATAGTTTTTTCTTAGAAACTATTTATTTAAGTGGCTATAAAATTGTTCAAAATATTGTTGAAACCATCTAAATACATTAAAAAAACTAAAATTAAGAGCAAAAGAAGCATTTTTTGAGAAATTGATGGGGCAAACCGCCTAAACGGCAGTTTCTTTCACATAGATCTCGAAAAACTACGCGATTTCAATTTTTTTTTTGTCCAAAACGGATAACCCAGTCAAAAGTTATGCCTTGACAAAGTTTCTACACTTTACAAAAAGTAGAAACTTCAACAAGTCAACACTCATATCTAGTAAATGGGTTATTTTGGTCGTTTGATGCTTAACCGCAAATTATCAACCCTAAAAAAATAAAATAAAAAAATAAAATAAAATAAAATAAAATAAACGGCCGGTTCAGCCGGCTAGGCGGCCGCCTAGCCGCCCGTCCGCGGAGGAGGCCGATTCCGGCCTTCCTCGCCGCGGCCGGGCGGCGCCTAGCGCCTAGGCGCGATTTTTGCAACACTGCCTTTTGGCTGTCAGCTTGTTTAGGTATATTTGAGAAACCATGATTGCACACTACAGTTGAACTGTGTGAGTGCTAATCCTGTGATTTTTGGTAATTGAATGTGTTTTTGTGCAATTTTTGTAATATATCAGGACTTTTGTGGCATTTCATTGTAAATTAGATTCACCTTTGTGAAATATTCTGTTCTTGATTAAGTGGAAGTATAAACAAGGTATCTTATAACATCATTATATGCTTTTATAATGGATAAATGTGTTTGGTATTTTAATGGAAACTGATATTTTTTGTTAGTATGTACTTTGTTATTTACCCAGTTGGACATCTAAAATTTGCATCAGGGGTCTGTATCTGTATTCTGCAAATATCTTTGATTTAACTTAGCACATTAGTCTGGACTTATCATGTACCCTTTTTCAAGTTGTTAGATACTTGCATTTGGTGGACTGTTTTCAGCAGTTCCATTTTTAATGTTTTCACCTTTAAATACTCATCTTGAATACGTCCATCTTCCTTGAAGGTTATAATTATATTGTGAATTCTTTGCTTCACCATAACTTATTGGAAAGCTCATCATTGAAGATATGGCCTTGTAATATCATTGCTGATTAGTGTGGAGATGATCTTCTACAATTCTTGCTAATATTCTAAGGAGTTGTGCACAATTTTTTGCTCTTTTGATCCATTTCCCCTCTCATTTCTGTGGCTCTAAAATTTGAAGTTAAAACTTGGTATTTCCTATGTGTTAATTGTGGTGTCTGTATTAGCTAGTTTAAGTCTCTAATTTCACAAGACATGTCCTTATTTTAACAGCCAGTCTGCCACTAAGTAGATGACACTAGTAAGATGTTAATTTATTTAGGAAAAGGCACCCTTGAAATATGCTTGAAACCATTATTCGACAGACTTTAATATATGTTTATTTTAACTGCAGCAACAAGTTGATTCTGAGTTGAACCAGAATCTGAATTCCAAGGCTGTGCCTGCTCCAAATCTTAGTGCACTGGATTTCCCAGCTCTTTCTGTAGCAGATAATGAAAACAGCCTACTGACCTACTCTGGAGATGATCTCCAACAGGAGTTTAGTCCCTACAGGGAATCTGGAAAGGATAGCACCCTTGCATTCAAATCTGGCTCTTCCTTACCCTACAGAGGTACTCTGGATTTTGCATCTGCTGTCAAAAAGATGGCATCTCAAGACTCTAGCATGTGGAAGTATGACAAACATGGATCCAATGATGCCAGAGTTGGATCAAGTAGAAATTCACATGTGCTGGCTAGTCCTTACAATGGTAGCCAAAGTAGGGCAGTCTATGGTGATAGGTTGCACAGCCGGGGGTCAACTCGTGCAGCTCCTGCCTGGCTTGAAACTGGAGAGGCAGTTGGTAATATTTTTCATGAAATTTTAGTTGTGGACAATATTTTAGAATGTATCTTCTTTAACGTTCTTTATATTGCAGCAAATATGTATTCTGAAATGCGGGAAGAAGCTCGTGACCATGCACGTCTGCGCAATGCATACTTTGAACAGGTGCTTTTTTAAAATAATAATAAAAATAAAATAAATGGTGTGGTGACAAAAGGCTGATTATCTTTGGTTCAAATGGCAAATGTGAGGTTTGGTTTTTGGGGGGTGGTTTCCATGGGGAGAAATCTTGTGTGGGGTGTTTTAGTCCCTGCATATAGAGGCTACTCTATCCCAGTATATTTATGGGTATCGTAATTGTTAATTGTAGTTTGTTTATTTGTTGACAGGAACATGTGGTAAAAGCTATTTATGGCTAACATGTTTCTTTTATTTCACTGCTTAAAGATGAGATGCATATTCTTCTATGTGCCAAATCTGGATATAGCTTCACCAGATACTGTTACTTTTGGGTTTTTTTATATGGTGTATTTACACTTTAACCACTGGGATTTTATATGCAAGAGCAGGCTCGTCAGGCATACCTTAGTGGTCAGAAGGCTTTAGCTAAAGAATTGAGTGAAAAAGGGCAGCTGCACAATATGAAAATGAAGGATGCTCACGGCAGAGCTCAGGAATCTATATTCCGCGTAAGGTTTGTGTTCTTGATTCATGCTCTAATTTGTTGCAATACACTTCAAATTTGTTTGACAATGGCCTCAGCCTCTTTACAAAGACTGTGTTTGGTATCTTTTAGTATATAATATTCATTCTTCCCAATGCTCCCCTTGACTCGAGCTCCTAGACTCTAGGAGTCCATACTCCACCCATCTGGTGTGCCTAACTATAAGCCATGTTTGGTAAAATGGCTGTTAGCTATTAGCTGATTGTGTTAATTAGAGGGTATAAATAGTTGATAACATTAGCTGATTGTAGAAAAATGTTTGGTTAATTAGCTGTTAGCTGATAGCTGTTTGGTATAATTTCTTTTCTCAAAAAGCTAATTGAAAAAGTTGGTTGGAGTAACCTTTTGAATTTTAGCCTTTTGGAGTTGCAAAAAACTAATTAGCCAAACATTTATATTGATATTTTAACTAAATCAAACAATTAATAGTAGTCAAATAAACCAAAATTGGCCTATAGGCCAATTTTTTACCAAACAGGGCCAAACTAATTTTCAATTTCTCAGCTTCGATCTGGTCACATCTTACCCTTTAGTCTGCACTTTCAGGCCTGAAGCCAGGCTGCTTACAGATTTTTACACATCAATTAATATGATGATATATGTTTTGGTAGTTTGGTACTAAGAACATTAAAATTTACGCCCTGCTGGTATTGAATTTCTTATTCTCAGGAATCAAGAGGTGTCAACCAATGGCAGAGGACAGGAAAGAATTATTGACCTGCATGGACTTCATGTTTCAGAAGGTATTCAAGTCCTTAAGCGCGAGCTAGCTGTTTTGAGAAACGCAGCAAGATCAGCAGATCAGCGGCTGCAGGTATTCATTTGTGTCGGGACAGGGCATCACACCAAGGGTTCAAGGACTCCAGCTAGACTTCCAACTGCCATCCAACGCTACCTCCTCGAGGAGGAAGGCCTTGACTACTCCGAACCACAACCAGGGCTTCTCCGAGTTGTGGTATACTAAGTCAAGAAGGTATAGAAGTTTTTAACACAGTACACCCTTGAAATGTGTTATATTTGTGGTATCTGTATATGGAAAAGTGTAGTGCAACTTCACGGAGTAGGGAGGAAAAGAAAAAGAAAAAAAAAATCTGCGACAAGGGGCAGAGATTTGTATCAGTAAGGTTTAGTTGTTTGATAGTGGGATATGGGAGGAGGGTGTATCAGTCCCATGCTAGTTTTGTTACGTTAATTTTGTCTAAATTGCCCAATGTAACTGATAAAATTCATTTATTTGATAGATCAGTAAAACTAAGTGTATCTGTTGTTTGAAATGTGGAAGTTAGATCTTCATCTTCTAGTCCTTACCATTTTGGCTTTTCTATGTGCTTTACTGCTTACATCCCTGAAATTACATGTGCATTTCTCTTGATAAAAAATGAAACACATATCTTTCAAGCATTAAAGCATTTCAGCAAGGTCTAACCATTAAAGCATACAAACAAAAAAAAAAAAAAAAAAAAAAAAAGTCGTCTGGGCAAAAAATACTGAGGCTTTATGCGTATTTATAGATATATAATTTTGTGAAAATAAAATATCACATTTGTGCATAGAAGATGAAAATTTAAACTCTTTGGACAAAAGAATTAAAATAAAACTTTTTGAACATGATATATGTTGATGGTGTTAACGTAACATAACCATTATAACATAAATATGAACTCTTATATTACATACATTAATTTTAACCAAACACAAAAATCTAACATTACCAAGAATCTAAACACAAAAATAAAATCTAACATTACCAAAAATCAAAACACAAAAATAAAATCTAACATTACCAAGAATCTAAACACAAAAATAAAATCTAACATTACCAAGAATCTAAACACAAAAATAAAATCTTACATTACCAAGAATCTATACACAAAAATTTAACCAATATACCGCAACCCTCAAATATCTTTTTGAATCTTTTCCAAAAAAAAAAAAAAAAAAGACAATTGAAGTTAAAAAAAAAAAAAAAAAAAAAAAAAAGTAGTACAGTACTACTCAAAAAATGGCTCAACAGACAAACAATAAAAAATAGGGAAAATCTCAAACGTCAGTCCATAACTGGACATGAAATAACAAGTACTACTCAAAAAATGGCTCAACAGACAAACAATAAAAAATAGGGAAAATCTCAAACGTCAGTCCATAACTGGACATGAAATAACAAAAGTTGAACTGGAATTGGTTGGGTCCTCTGTTACAAGGAACCCTCCAAAAAATGGCGTATGCCACTATTTGCGACGAACACACGGTATTCTTTAGTAAAAGGCGAAAGAATAATTCGCTATGTGTTCATCGCGTGGCTGCGTGGTTTCAAAAGACTTAGAATTGCCAAATATATAGAAGCCCATAGCTGAGAGTTGTTTATGTTTGTTCGATGTGGGATGGGTTACCCCCACATTTCTATTTTTACTATTCAAGGCGATGATAACTTCGTTTTCTTGGTACGCCACACCGGACCCAAATCCCATCTCCAAATCTGTTATAATAATAATAATAATAATAATAATAATAATAATAATATTATTATTATTATTATTATTATTATTATTATTATTAGTAATATTAAACCAAGTAGTTAGTTAATTGGTTAAAAATAATGGGAGTAATTATAGGTGCAGTACATGGCCATGATGTTAGCTTTACATGGAGCATTAACTCCTTTATTTTAGCATTTGAATTATCTTATCTAGTATAAATAGATTTGTTATTCAAGCATTTCTAATCATCAATAAAATTATCTATTCCATCTCTCTCTCTCTCTCCTCAATATATATAAATATAATATATATACATATTATATTTAATATATATTATAGATATATTATATTATATTTAATATATATTATATTAAATATATTATATTTAATATATCTAACATTTGGTATCAGAGCCAGTCAACCTTTCAACCCCGAGATATTTTTCGTAGTGAAATATGACTGCAAATTTCAATATTGTATGGTCGGGTCCCAAATTGGACGGGAAACTCGATTACAATTATTGGCAAATTATGATGTCCACACATTTGCAAGCTCAAAATCTTTGGAGCTTTGTTGATCCCGGTCTACAAGAAGGAGCTGAAGCAGGCGCTATACGGCGAGATAAATTGGCCTTGGGTCAGATTCACCAAGGTGTTCATTATTCCATTTTTGGGCAATTAGCTCGTGCTCAAACAGCAAAACAAGCCTGGGACATCTTAAAGGTATCACACAAAGGAGTCGATCGGGCGCAGAAGTCTAAGTTGCAGTCGTTGAGAAGGTTGTACGATAATTGTGAGATGACCTCTACAGAAACAGTAGATGCGTATTTCACTCGTCTTATTGATATGGTGAATAAGATGATGCTATATGGAGATACGATTGAAGATGGTGCAGTGGTTGAAAAAGTTCTTCGAACTATGCCGATGAAGTATGACCATGTGGTGGCTTCAATAACAGAGTCACACAAAACCGAGCTCTTATCAATTGCAGAGCTGAAAGGTATGGTAGAAAGTCATATTGACAGGATTGCGTCAAAATCGGAACCACTAGCAGAAGAAGCTTTGAAGAGTCAAGTCACCCTTAATGTGACTGGCACTAATCAAAGAGGTGGAGGATCTGGTAGAGGTCGTGGAAGAGGAAGAGGAGGTTCTAGTGGAAGAGGTCGTGGTAACTTCAACCAAGGAGGAGGACGTGGTAACTCCAACCAAGGAAGAGGTGGAGGTAATACCAAACAAGGTAAATTTCCATTTCATTGCTACAATTGTGGCAAGTATGGGCACAAGATTGCAGATTGTTGGTATAAAGAGGACAACAATCGTGGAAATCAAGCAAACATTGCTGAAAAGTCTGGTGAGAGTTCTGAAACTTTACTTTTAGCCAGCGATAGTTTTTCTGCAGATAAGAACATATGGTTCTTGGATACTGGGTGTAGTAACCATATGTGTGGGAAGAAAGAATTGTTTTCTGAACTGGATGAATCAGTCCGGTCTGAAGTGACATTTGGCAATAAGTCAAAGGTGCCAATTTTGGGAAAAGGTAAAATCTCTATTCAGTTGAAGGATGGTACTCACAATTTTATATCTGATGTGTTCTATGTTCCTGAACTACACCAAAACTTGTTGAGTATGGGACAGTTGTCAGAAAAAGGATATAAGATGGATATTGCTCAGGGGTGTTGTACCATTGCAGATGCTAAAGGAGTTTTGATTGCAAAGGTAAATATGTCTCAAAATCGACTATTTCCTTTGAAAATTAAGCATACTCTCCTTGCTTGCTTTAATTCTGAAGTTTGTGATGATAATTGGTTATGGCATATGCGGTTTGGGCATTTTCATTTTTCTGGATTACACTATCTTGCGAGAAAGGAACTTGTTTCTGATTTACCTGTTGTGAATGTCCCTGATCGTATATGTGAGATTTGTGTGATTGGAAAGAAGCATAGAGATCCCTTTCCCGTGGGCAAGTCAAGAAGAGCCACAAAACAGTTGGAGATTATTCACTCAGACCTATGTTCGTTGGAGGTTCCCTCACATGGAGGTTGTAAGTACTTTATTACTTTCATTGATGATTTCAGTAGAAAAACATGGGTTTACTTTCTGAAGCAAAAGTCTGAAGCATGTGATGTTTTCAAAAAATTTAAGGTTTTTGTTGAAAAGCAAAGTGGTTATGAAGTTAAAATCTTGAGAACTGATAGAGGTACAGAATATATTGCTTGTGATAATTTTCTGAAAGAAAAGGGTATTCAGCACCAAATGACAACTAGATACACTCCACAACAAAACGGAGTGGCTGAGAGGAAGAATAGGTCAATCATGGATATGGTGAGGTGCATGTTGAAATCCAAGGATCTGCCTAAACCTTTTTGGGCAGAAGCTGTTGCTTGTGCTGTCTATGTGTTGAATAGGTGTCCAACTAAGAGTGTCCGTGATAAGACGCCCGAAGAAGCTTGGAGTGGGAGAAAACCCTCTATCAAATATCTCAAGGTTTTTGGATTTTTGGCATATGCACATGTGCCGGATCCATTGAGAAAGAAGTTGGATGATAAAGGTGAGAAGTGCATATTCATTGGTTATAGTGACGCTTCAAAGGCTTATAAACTATACAATCCTGAAACTAAGAAGGTTGTTATAAGTCGTGATGTCACTTTTGATGAATATGGTGTTTGGGATTGGTTAGCTAAAGATGAAAGTTCAGTTGTTATTCCTGCTGTTGAAAATATTGTTGAAGAGCAACTGATTCCAGATAATGTTCAGTCTCCTTCACAGCCAGAGTCGTCAGTTCGACGATCTCAGCGCGAGCGCCACTTACCAGCTCGCTTGCAGGATTATGTTTTGGGTCATGATAATGACCTGTCTGATGAAGAGATTGTTCAATTTGATCTCTTTGCAGATTGTGATCCTTTAACTTTTGAGGAGGCTGCTACAGAAACTCATTGGCTTAAGGCGATGGATGAGGAGATACGTGCCATTGAAAAGAATGGTACCTGGGAGTTAACAGATTTACCTCCTGGAAAGAAGCCGATTGGAGTAAAGTGGGTTTACAGAACGAAGTACAAATCAAATGGAGAAATTAACCGTTTTAAGGCACGGTTGGTAGCAAAGGGTTACAAGCAGAAACCAGGTATTGATTATTTTGAGGTTTTTGCTCCTGTAAGTAGACTTGATACAGTTCGAATGGTTATTTCTCTTGCTGCTCAAAATGATTGGAAATTGCATCAAATGGATGTCAAGTCTGCTTTTCTGAATGGTTTTCTTGATGAAGAAATATATGTTGAGCAACCTGCAGGATTTCTGAAGAAAGGGGAGGAAAATAAAGTGTACAGGTTGAGAAAAGCCTTGTATGGCTTAAAGCAAGCGCCTAATAAAGGAAGGCTAGATAAGATAATTCAAATGCTAAAATAAAGGAGTTAATGCTCCATGTAAAGCTAACATCATGGCCATGTACTACACCTATAATTACTCCCATTATTTTTAACCAATTAACTAACTATTTGGTTTAATATTACTAATAATAATAATAATAATATTATTATTATTATAACATTGCCTCATTTAAACCAAGTTGAATATATTGGTCATCCCAATATCCTTCTTCAATTTAAGAAATGTCCCTGTCTTCAACGAAATTGCTGACTTGGTCATCCCAATATCCTTTATATGGGCCTTATGTCTTACTTTCTTGGCCTTGAGGTTATTCAAATGGATGGTGGAATCTTTATTTCACAGAAGAAGTATGCTGCTGATATTTTGAAAAAGTTCAAAATGGAAAACTCCA